TTCCTTTATCTTATAATAAAATTAGTTATTATTAAAGTTAATCTATGTTTTGTTATTTTAATTTGATTTGTTTATGAATAGTCGAATTGATTATAGGTTTGAGTTCTTGAATTAATTAATTATGTAATGGTTATATGGAAGGTATAGATATTTATACAATTGGTAGGGCCAAATTAAGATTCTTTATTGGAACAGATGGATAAGGATCAAGAAGAAGTTAATCTAGATAAGCATCAATTCTGTTGTAAGAGCACTAATCATTTAATATTATTCAATAACTTACATCTAAATCTTATTAAAAACCTTAAAGACATTCTTCTACTTTATTCTTATATTACACAACAATCTATTCACTATTCATTTATTTTATTATTAACATTTTTTATTTTCATTTCTCTATTTCTATAAAAAATTTACAGAAAATTCTTAAAATTAAAGTAAATACTTTCTTCATATTTATCATTTATTTAATCAATTTCTAATAATCTTACACGCCGAACTAAAATCAAAGCATTTTAATATAAGGATTTGAGAAATATGAGACAAACTTATGATATAACTTTTTGCTGTTTTATAGATTAAGAAGAATTTTTGTTTGATCAATTGGATGATGTGAAATTAAATGTGAGATGCTTCATATGAGAGCAATTTCAATATCATAAGTATATAGTAAATAAGAAAATCCTAATCAAAGCTAGGAAGAAGTATAGAAACTAGAAGTCATAAAAACAATTTATAAATTACTAAATAAACAAGTTAGAGAGACCAATTTTAATGAATATGACTTACAAAATAATTACAAAAAGCACAGACGATCTACAAACTTACATTTTTAGATCTAAGATTGGTAATTACTAAGGAAGTAAGTTCATTGAAAATTTTTGAAATCATCATGAAGCTTTTGGTATTATTTGATACTATTAAATCTATAGAACCTTAAAACTTCATTTTTCAGATATTTTCATATTATTTCAGTTTAATTGTCAAAATACTTAAGATTAATTTGCAATTTCAATTTTTTTCCATTCTAGGCTGGTTTATATTATTTTAAATTAGTATTCAACTCAAATGTATTGCTGTATTATTCTCATATGTCCAATTAAAAATAAATCATATGTCATAAATAATTTCTTAAGATATTATTTAGATCAAAAGCCTAAACTCTAAGACAAAAATTTGAATATTAAAAAACCAGAAAATGCTTTGCTGACAAGTAATACATAGCAATTAACTTTACTATATATATAGAGTACTTATTTAAAGTCTTTGCATATAATCTTCAACCTTCTTAAAATATAAATCGATTATGAATGAAATAAATTTTATAGGTTAGAATTTTGAAAAGACGGGTTTGTAACTCACATGTACAAGATATAACTTATGATTAAATGTCAAATTGATCTAAAGAAGAAATAATAGATGGTAGGCTCAAAGAAAGATAAATTTTTCAAATTTAAAAAAGACTTTGATGTCCGATGAAAATTTTTTAATTTAAAATTGATAATGATGTGAATTTTCTGATTTAACTACTAATAAAGCCCTAGAATGACTATTGTGGAAGTCCAATAGTATCGACTATTCATTGATTCATTAATATAATAAAAGAATTCTAAGTTTTAGAAGATTAGTTTGAGACCTGCTTCTATTTTAATGGATAAAACCTATTATTGAAGGAAATAGATTAAAATTAATTTAATGGCTTAATTCCAGT